GAAACAGTTACACACTGGCTCTTTATTAACATGCTCCTTACGTGAAAAAACATAGGCTTGCAAACAGATTGCACTTCACACGGAGACTTGAAGAGGTGCACTTAAACTAATTAAGATGGCTACTGTTAAATGCCCCAGCAGACAGGTCAAATTCTCAAAATGTCTATAACCTTCAAGATAGTCTTCTATCTCTCCTCCCTTTTGTCTCTTTCTCCCAACCCAGTGCCTTCTACTCTTCCTCTCATTCTCTCTAGTCTTCCTCCCCCAACATGCCCCCATCTCTTTAAAGCTTTCTCTCACACACACACATGCACAGACAAACAAAAAAACATTTATAATGCCAGAACAATTTTTTCTGGGGGTTTTTTTTTAAAGAAAAAGAAGTATGGCACCATTATCTTCTACAGGTCCTCCAGCACAGCAATTACGGACACAACAAGAGTTCAACAAACTGCGACAACAAGTCATCAAGAAGTCGCTAAACGAAATATTCAAAGTAACTGGCCAAGGATGATTGCAAAGAACTCTGTAAAATGGTCTGGGATTTTAAAATGTGAGGAAAGGGATTAAAAGTGGGTACACACATCACATTCACACAAAACAAATGTTCTAAAAAGAGGCGGAAATAATGCAAAATGACCATAGCCACACACTGACATTGGAATTTCAATTATCGACCCGTGATACATTTCCCAAAAAGCAAGAACAGGAGGACATAGAAATTCATTCATACCAACTGCATTTAGGTTACTGAACACACAGTGCTACAAATGAAATAGAGAGAGAGAGAGAGAGAGAGAGAGAGAGAGAGATAGAGAGAGAGAGAGAATGAGAGGGAGCGAATGTTTTACGAAGCGGGTTGTTTCAGTGTATGCGTGAGAGCACCTAACCTTTGTAACATCCACTGCCATTGTAAACGATCAAGACAAAATTGTCATTGTCACTGTCATTGTCAAACAAAACATTTATTTCTAATAAAATGCATGATCTCTATGTAGCCATAACTTCCACACAAATGACCATATGAAAATTCTCAGCTGCCAGGCTTCACAAGAAGATGTTTATAAAAGGAAAAACAGTATTCAAAATGTCATCTGAAATGGTCGCGCGGGATAACCCAGATTCCGGAGTTTTCCAAACAGTAACATCTTGACCTACACGAAAAGTGGGCATTGCCCTACCTATCGGAGAAGTTTGGTTTCATTGGTATGTAATATTTGTTTGGTTAGAGAGAAATCTCTCCTTGTCTTTTAAAGAAACTGAACAGGGGGCAAAAACTTTACATTCGATTTTCTCAAAACAGCATTTTTCAGGATAGCCCCCTTGTGCTTAAAAGCGACCAGATATACTTTTAAAATCATATTGATAATTGATATGGAACAGGGGTAAGATAAACACTGTAGTATATTGATAGTCTTCCCTTCGCATTATATACTTTGTATTCCTCCCTCAGTTACAAAAGTGTACCTTCCAAATTTAATGGAAAGCAACTTCTCATGCAAACAGAATTTATTTTCGGAAAGTTTCAGTTAGAAATCTCAGAAGTAAACACTTACAATAACTACTTTATTAGTTAAATAAGGTTACGACTCCAAAAGCACTACTGCCTCAAATCCGAATCCAATAGAAAAATCCAAAACTAAAAGGCATATCAGGAAGTACAATGTCTGTTTAGTGATATTTTTGTTACTGACATCCATCTGGCCCAGTAGCAAGAACACTCCAAATGCAAAATGCAATTTCAGAGAGCGCTGGTCAAAGTTTAATATGCTGCATTTTTATCTCTAATTATCACTGAAGGCAATATACCAATACCATGGTAACTAATAAATGACATTGAAAAATTAGCTTTTCATATTAATTTACATTAACTGTTTTAATTGTGGACAGAAATCAGCTCAAAAGGTGAATAAATAGCAACCTGGCGACAGCTTTCGAGAAATCAAATAGGATGGCTCTTGTGGTCTTGAGAAATGATGTTCATCTCTCATTCAAAAAGTCCTGGGTTTAAAACCTGACAATGACCAAAAAAATGTTCTACCCTAAAATTGTCTCTCTTGCCCTCCTTTCCTGTTCTCTTATCAAGTTATGTCATCTGCTTTCATCTCCACTTTCTCCCCCCCACCCCATCCCTAGCCTCCTCTCAGCTCCTCTCCTTTACTCCAGATTCTTTGTTACAGTATATGCTACTCCTGCTCCTTTTTACGGCTGTCTTTCAGTTACACCCCTGATCTGAGGGTAAATAAGATCAAAAACCTTGCCTTCTCGGATTATAAGGGCAAAATTACATCCTAAAGGTGCAAGTTGAACACGTTAATTTCTTTTGTTTGTTTGTTTGTTTTTGTAAAGTGTTTTACGGCGCTCGCAACTGCAAAAGGTCATATGAGCGCGCGGGACACACCTAATACTTTTAGTTGGTAGGAAATTTTGAATTTTGCCCGGGTGGCGGCCGAAGCCTACTCTTATTGATTTTAGACCACCAAGGGATCTTTAACGTGCGCAACTTGCACACGGGCCCTCCGAGATTTTTCGCCCTTGTCCGAAAAGGCTAGGTGTAGACCTTTCCTACCAGAAGATCAGGGGTGTGGCAGAAAGACAGCAGTAAGAAGGAGTCAAGGAGTAGCAGTAGAAAGGCTGCAGAAAGAGTCAGGAGCCCAAATGAATTCTTACCAAAACTGAAAATACGCTGTCAGTATGAAAATATGAGTACCTTCAAGATTGGTATATGTGGCTCTGACGGTAAGGGGCCTACAAAGTAGGAAAAACGGTCAAATATGAGAAGAAATCTAAAGCAATGCAGGTTGAGGAACCAGCAGTCGATTACCGCTGAGATCTAAAGAGAAAGGAGAAGAATAGGATATGATGTCTTCACTGGACAGCATGGGAGAAGATGTGAGTGAAACTGAGACTGAAAGGGTAAGTAGTAAGTGCCAGAAGGTGAGCTATTAACTAATTGAACAATTAAAATTTTGACATTCATTTAAAGCAATCATAACGAAGGAAGATGGTGAAGAAAGTGCAAGCAAAAATGATAAAGGCAGAATGTATTCCATCATGTGTTTGAA